CATGTTCATCTTTGTCCTTTACTTAATTTACTTAGATTGTTTGTCCTTCACAGGACTGTGTATATGTTTTCATTGCCAGTTCTCTTATATTATTAGAATAGAATGTTCAACAATAATAACTATCCTCATTAGGGTCTTAGTGCTAAGTGACATGGGAAGTGCCTGCTGGGTGACATAAGGCTTGCTGAATCGACAGTCTTCATAGATAATGTGTTATAGAGAGTGAACACTGACAACAAGGAAAATGGGGATATGGTTATATGTTTTCCTTCTAGGTGACAGCAGTTTTAGTCTTCCCTAACTGAATTATCCATATACTAACTGATCATACCATAGAAGTGCCAGAAGGGTTAGTGAGTATTTAAGTACTGGGCCTGGGTTGGGAGATTTGATTTATCTCTAGACTAGAGGCCTGGTGCACGAATTCGTGTACAGGTGGGGTCCCTCGGCCTGGCCGGCCATCGGGGCCTATCGGGGCCGATCAGGGCCAGCTGGCCGGGGGAAGGGACTGCGGGAGGTTGGGCCATGGGAGGTTGGCTGTGGTAGCACACTGACCACCCAGCCAGTCAGGGAGGACGCAGGTGGCGCGGGAAGTTGGCTAGCCACAGGAGGTTGGGTGCGGGAGTGCACTGACCACCAAGGGGCAGCTCCTGCATTGAGCATCTGCCCCCTGGTGGTCAGTGTGCATCATAGCTACCGTCTGGTCATCCGGTCATCTAGTCGTAATGGTTGCTTTGGCTTTTATATATATATATAGATGAGACTGAAAAGTAGACTTCATCAGTGTAACAAGTTTAGTGCCAACACACCCAATCAATTGCTCGCTCTTCTCCGAAGCACCATTTCATGGTGGGGGAGATTCTCCCCAGAGTAAAATCACAATGTAAGGATCAACAAATTTTCAGTTCTGCTGTTGCAGTTTATATTTCTTTGAAATTTTAGCTTACTCACTTCCTTACTTTATCATCTTTACAACTTACCCTGTTGTTTTATAAAATTTAATTCTGCTATTTATTACTTCAGCATTTGTTAAGCCTTTCTACACATTTCAGGGACCAGATCTTCCCAGCTACCACTAAACATGTCAAAGCTCTGAGTAACACCCTCTCCTGTGAGTGAGGGTGATGTTTTTGTTTTCTTGTGCTCTGGTACTTTGTGTGGTATGAGTCAGTTGACTCATTCTGAAATGATTCTTCCAGGCCTTGGGATCACCAATAGCTAGTGTAGATTCCTCTCTCTGTCCAACTGCATTGTAGAAATCTTTCCTCCAAGCTGCCCGTTACCCAATGTCTTTCAGGCAATTTGGGAGCTCTGTTTCCCTGCGATGGAATCTGGCCAGACCCTTTCCTCCTGCCTATGCTTTGTTACTCTGGAATAGTGAGTCCCCTATGTAATAAATAACACCAGCATTGTATTTTACACTCAAGTTCTTGCTATAGGTACTGTAACTACCACATTGAATTTGCTGTGGCTGTAGTTCTGCTGTACCACTGCCATCACCCTTCATGTTTTGTTTGAGTTAATCTTCAAATGGATGGATAAGGTGGTTCACAATAGAATAACCCAAATTTTACTTACAGAATGGTAGGGATTTCTCATTAGTTAACAAACTTCTCTAATTCAGGGGCCAGATGATGAAGTGTGAGCGCACTGCTCAAATTTTCTAGGTAGGAAAAAAATGACTTCATTTAACCCAAAGCACATGTAAGTACCATATATTTTTCCTCTCAATCCATTTCCGTTGGAGCGGGAGAAGGAGATACTTTGGGGAGGAGTTGGTGAAGTACAGACAATAGCCAAATAAATACTCAATTAAAATATATTGGATGTTAGAAGTAAGAGTGAAGGAAAATAAAGATAGAAAGATGGAGAATTCATAATTCTTATTTCCCATTGTTACATGGTTTAAGCCTTGTCATCATAGTTATTTTTATGGGAAATTGGGTGAAGCTCTGTTAAATGGAAACAGCCAGTATTGTTGCTTGAAGTCGCTTTTAAACCAGAATCCAGCTATGCTTACATTTAATGGTTGAAAAACTATTGTTACTATTAATCTCTGGTGTGTGATATATTATGAAAAATGCTATGCTCACCGCCTTGCAGAAACTATGATATATGCTTGCTCAAGCTATTTTATTTAATCCTTACAACACCTCTAAAATAAGTATTATTTATCCCTCTGAAGCTTAAGAAAATAAGGCTTAGAGTGATTAAATAACTTGCCTGAGGGAACATAGCTAGCAAAAAACCCAAACCAGGATTTGAACTGAAATGTCTTTGATCCAAAGATCGTATTTGTGTATTTGTAATCACTACACCTTTCCCCTTCAAGCTCTGACTGAGCTAAGCAATATGAGCAAATTAACAAATCAGTTGATTTTAATCCAAACTGTTTTCCAGAGCTTGCACATGATTTGGCCCCTGCCTATCTCTACAATTTTATTTTAGACCACATACCCCAGGCTCTCTGCCCCAGCCCCACTGGCTTCCTTTTTGTTCCTTAGATACCACATTTTGGAGACCTTTGCATATGCTGTTTCCTTAGTCTGCAGTCTTCTCTTTCCTCTTCCCCTCTCTCTATATGCTTGCCTCCTCCTTCTCTCCCAGGTCCTAGTTCACATAGCATTTGCTCAGTCTTTTTCTGACCACTGTATATATGGAAGCTGCTCTTCCCCTGTTATTTCTCCTGTCACCTGTTATTTCTGTCACAGCATGTAACCAATCTGGAATCAACCTGTTCACTTATTTCTCAGGTCTCTCCCTACAGATTGTAAGCTCTCTGAGAGCAGGAACCTCCTGCCTCTTGGTTATTACTGTATTTACTGATCATATATGTCAAGTTCTGCTCTAACCGATGTGGAAAAAACAATTGAATGGAAATTGGATGAATGATTTTGAAACGTATATATTTGTTTCTACTTGAAAACAGTGCCTTTAAAATTTTTTCAATTAAATGTATTTTAAAATATCTGTGATAATTTTGAGTACTCTAAGTTTTTTATTTAAACTTTGACTTACTAGCGTAATCACAAACTACAGTGGGGCCTTGACTTATGAGTGTCCCGACTAAGGAGTTTTTTGAGATACCAGCTGTCTCTCGGCCGATTTTTTTGCATTGAGTTGACAGAGTAATTTTTTTTTTCAATTAAATGTATTTGAAAATATCTGTGATAATTTTGAATACTCTAAGTTTTTTATTTAACTTTGACTTACTAGCGTAATCACAAACTATTACAATTTCCTGCAGTAATAGATTTTTGCTTTGGTTAGCTCCTTGACGAGCTTGGTCTCAGAACGAATTAAACTCGTAAGTCAAGGCCCCACTGTATTACAATTTCCTGCAGTAATAGATTTTTGCTTTGGTTTTGGCATTCCCAATGGTCTTGTTTAAATAACTTGAAAATGATTATTTTTAAATGTTTTTTATTGATTTTAGAGAGAGAAGAAGGAAGAGGGATATAGAGATAGAAACATCAATGAGAGAGAAACATTGAGTGGCTGCCTTCTGTACACCCCTAGTGGGGATTGAGCCGAAACCTGGGCATGTGCCCTTGACCGGGAAACGAACCAGTGACTTGGTTCACAGGTTGATTCTCAACCACTGTGCCACACCATCCAGGTGAAAATTGATATTATTTAATAAGAATTAAACTCTTTAGCTAATCATCTGCAATAGGATAATAGTGTTACATAATCATAACAGTTTTTAGCTAGATATGGACTTAGTACGCTCTCTACTCTCACTGAAATAATGCAGAAAGGTAAGAAAGCTTCTCAAAAGCTACCTGGGTAGATCCAGGTCCAGAAACGTGGAGCAGGGCCCTTTCGGTGGTATTAGGTCAATCCTTACTGTGTTTCTTTCACATGCCCTCCCTACGGGAGCAATAGATTATGTATAGTATTTAATCAAAATAAATAAACTTGTATTTCAGAAAGAAAAGTATGAATATTAATCAAAGTTCCCAGTTTATCTAAAATCTATAAGAAATGAAATGGTAACGTTCATGGGTGACTTAGCACTGAAACCATTGTACACTATTTCATCTAAGGCAGTTGTTACACAGACACACGGCCTACAGGCTAGACCTAGACTTTCTGCTAGAAATCAAAGGTGTCAGATTCAGGATGAAAGAATCACCAAGCTTTATACATTTTATTTTGTTCCACAGTTAACAATGGAAACTACTACATTCGAACCTCACATTCTTATTCAGAAATCAATTTTTTTTAAAACCAGATTTAATAAACTTTGAATTTTTATGAATCTGTCATATGTGACAAAAGAATTCCTCATTCTTCAGAAATATTTCTTGAATATATGGTTGTATTTATGAACATAAGTTTACCCACATTTCTAAAACACAAGATATGATTTGCTTTCATGTCTTCTTAGAAGCCAAAGATTTATTTTCTAAGAGTCAAAGAAAACAAAAGTAAACTACATTGTCTTGTTTCTATACGGAGATGAAGAAGAGAGGTGTCTTTCATCAATGGAAATGGTGTGTCCACTGAATATGGGCAGTGACTATATAAAGCATTCTAAGAAGTCCAAAAATAGTGTTGTTGCTAGGAAGTGACTCTTGTAAGACCAATGCAATTAAGGCCTGTATTGTCTGTCTTATTATTCTTATAAGGCCAGCAGCAACATTAGCTCACTTAATGTTTATACAGCAGAACACAGATCTCAGTTTAGATAAATATGAAGTTTATCTTTTTTCTGTGAATCGAAGGAGTTTTAGGCTGACTCAGTAGAAGTCCATTTCTCTCCAGTGCTTGTTTATAGAACGATCCCAGGCTATGGAAAAATATTATTCATCCCCAAATAACTGCATGTAAGTCATTGACTACTAGAGTCCAAGGGATTAACTTGTCAAAAATCTTCCTTGTAGAGATAAAGCTTTCCTGTCAAAAAATCTTCCTTGTAGAGATAAAGCTTATCTTAGAATTCTGGTGACTATTATAATGAGGATTTATTTGTCTTTGTGTGTCTATATGTGCAGGAATACATGGACTCCAATAAATACATTGAGCATCTGCTAACGCAACTCGAGGAGAAACACAGAAGTCTCTGGAGGTGAGTTAAGCCCATGTCCTCAACTTATAGCAGCCTCTATAGCTTTGATCTTGATCCTGGAGGCAGGGAATTGGAAAACGGTTTCTTGTTCCATTTGGTGCCAAAAGCATCATTGGGGACAAATATCACCAGAGGCAACCTAGAAAATTCTATTTCTCGAACTAAAGTAAAGCAACAGTGCCAAAAGTTGTCTTTGAGTCAAGGACCTGCTCAGAGCTGGAAGGATGGTAGAAATTTGGACAGATACTGCTCAAGGTCATTAATTAATTTTTTTAAGGCCATCTGGCAACCTTATATTGGAGCCCAAAGTTTCTGATACTTGCTTGCTTAAAGATTATTTAGGGTTTTTCTGTAATTAAAAGATAGGATGCTACTTAAGATTCCTGCTTCTCTTTATATTAAAAGGGAACATTTTGAGAATGCTGTTGTATAGATCCCAATGTTTTTGTTATAAATTGTAGTAAGGAAAGGTATGTGACAATATTTGTGTAGGTAAGTTGGAAAGTGATCAGTATCATAGAAGTCATATTTTCAATTCATTCATTCCCTGGGGCCTCTTGGGAATTGAGACTGGCTAAGGATGTTTGTGATATTATTATCTAGACTTTTGGGATCCATTCAGTTATGCTCTTCACAGGTGCTGCTATTGAATTTGAATTCCTTTTTCTAAATTCCTATAGCTCTTGTTGTCTGGAATAAACACACTAGTGCTCATTTATATGATGCCTCACATTGCACTGGAATTGTTTCACATAATTAGCTTTGTCTCCCAATGGTCAGTATGCCCCTAATGTCCTCTACTTCTTATCTCCTCGAAGCAGGGAGCAGAGCGTTCTCTCTGTTCACAGAGATGGCAGGTAAATATTTGCTAACCCTGTGGCTCTTTTATCCCACCTCATCCAAATCCATCATCATTGGTCTATGCATCAGGCTATGCTGCCCCTTCTTTTTGCATCCTGTAACAAATCCCAATAAGCTTGGCATTCTTCTTCCTGAAGAATTCTAGTTCTTGGGTAAAGTGCCTGACACTTTCATTTGTCCTGCTCATATATTAGTTTTCCTACTAAAGAACAGATCTATGGTTATAGTGAAAGTATTCTATTTCTATACACAAAAATTGCTGGCAGGATACAACAGAAGTGTATAATTTTTAAGTTTGCTTGCCACTAACAGGCACGCCAGTTAATTTTCTGTAACTTGATGCAATAGTTGCCAGATTTGTGTTTGAGAGCTATAACCTGGTGTTGATATAGTTTTCTTTTGTGAGCCAGTGTATTGTATTAATAAAATTAACAACAATAATGCAATAATGCATTTATGGTTGTGTGCCTTTTAAATTTCATTTTACATAGATCTACTACAAAGTATATTTAAAAGGTTATTTCAATGAATTGTAGCACTTTCTTTCAACTACTTGAACATTTTGTTATTTTCCAAGAGAAAAATACATAAAAATGATGAATGCCCTATGATAAAGGAAATTTAGAGTTTAATTTGGTCAGTGAGTGTGTCTTATACACATCATTGGGAAGGGGTAATGATTTTATGGGTTTTTGAACCCAATACCTGCATGGAAAGAATATTTTCCTGCTTTCTCAAGGTAGCTAATAAAACCTTTCTGGTCTTCTCCAACATGATTAAGTTAAAATCCCATTTCAGGCACAGATTTAAACTAACGTAAAGTAAGAGCTCAGAATTTTGTGTGCAGTCACTTCCATTTTCTTTCAGAAATGGAATTATTGCTGGTGAAGAAGCCCAGCCTTATATATAGTGGCAGAGGATCTAATAAAATGGCATTTGAATAACAATAAAGGGCAATAATGGCATTTGAATAGTCAGACTAACTGCCAGTGAGAAAATGGAAATGGGTAGTATTGAAAAGAAAATGAAAACCAGTAATAGCAGATTTATATACTATTTATTGAATCATGAAATTATACTTGATCATATTTTGCAAATAGATCTGGACTTACTTAAAGTAATGGGCTTTATGATATGATTGCAGTGTCATAACTGCAACCATAGCTGAATTGTTTTTGGTAAAGAATATGTGAATGGCAGTGAGCCGTGTGGGAAATTCTTTCAGGTTGTGATTAAATTTTTAAACTGCTTTCTTGAGTTTGGGTAGACTCTTTGGTGTGCAGAGGATCATGGGAACAGCATGTGATGTACACAAACACAACTGGAATGTCTGAAGTTAAACAAATGTCCCCATAACTCAATATAAAACTTTTTATCTGACTTCATTATGTCTTTTATTTATTCCTGGTTCAGTTTTCATGAAGGAGGCCACTTTTCATTGCTCCTGATTTTAACTGATCGCCTTCCATTTATACTTGAACTAAGGTAGAACTTAAAAGAAAGGACAAAATCTGAATATTTAGTTCTTCCAACAGTAATGATGGTCAGCATTAATTTATGGCCACAATCTTTGAGGATTGGTCAAAATCACATTAGATACATTTGCTGTTATTGACACTTGCTAAACGATTAAAGAATTTAGACAAATGGTAGAAGATTTGGGTACATGACTTAAAAGCCTTTCCTTGTTTTTTTTGTGGAGGGGGCTACTTGTCTTTCTTAGTTTTTAGTCATTTCTCATAGCGTAACCAGTTGCTGTGACACAAATATATTGTTGTAATCATACTCTTAAGATAACTAGTTATTTTGGGGTCCTGCTTAGTATTCTACTGAAATAGACCTATTAACTATCTCTGGGTTTTCAAATGATAAAGAATTTGTGAAGTCCAAAGATAGCTGTCTGGCCATGAGCAGTCATTTAGCTCAACTGTCTTTTTTGACACCAACAGAAAACTTGTGTGAATTCATCTGAATAACAGGGCAGAGTCAGAATCTAGAACTCAGTCTAAGATTTGAGCAGGAGTCTGGGTGTGTTTGATGTGGTCTGCCCCTTCCTGCTTGACAATGAAAAGGATACAACCCATGGCCCCTTGTTTACTAGTTGATGTTGAAATGTGACAATATATTTCTGCATGTTTATTTGTTTTGCTGTGGAAAGTCAAGATTAGAAGGAAAGGCTCATTTGCATTTAATGATTTTTATATCATCTGTTACTATTTCTGATTTGACTAAATATATCAGTGACTGATAAAGATTATAATAAAACAGTTGCTGAGAATGTCTTTCTCCTAAATTTGAAAGAAACCTTTATCCATTTGCATCCTCAAATTGAGAGTGTAGAACAAACAGTTGGAAAATACCAATAGAATTCATGAATATTTATGGTGTTAATGACTCTGAAGTCTTGTAAGTGAAATTATGTATAAAAATGGAAATAGCGTGATACTATAACAATGCAAAGAGGACTGGACTGGAGGTTTGCGAGACTTGGACTCTTGTCCTCGCCTGCCAAGCTGGCTGTCAGGTGACATCTGAGACTGAGTTTCCATATCTGTAAAAGAAAGGTATCAATATAGCCAATATTTAAGATTACAGAGCCCTGAGACCATATGAAACATAATGTTTAGTTTTACATTTATATAATAAGTCAGACATGTAGAATCTCATTTTTCTATAATACTTGAATAATGCAGCATGATCAACCTGTACTATATATATATATATATCCTATATAATAAAAACCTAATATGCTAAGTGTCCGGTTGTCCGGTCATCCATTCAACCAATCAAAGTGTAATCTACACTAATAAAAGAGAAACATGCAAATTGGTGTCACTCCGCTACACCCACCAGCCAATCAGATAGACTATGCAAATTAACCCAACAAAGATGGCGGTTCATTTGCATATGTAGGCATGGAGCGAAGACTGAAGGCTCCAGCCTGAGCGAAGACTGAAGACTGAAGACGCTTGGCTTCTCCGCTGTGGCCAGAGCGGAGAAGCCAAGCCTCGCTGCGTTCGGACCAAAGGCCTGGTTCCGGGTGCCGGCAGCCAGGGGAAGGAAGGCCTATTGCGTGAATCTTCATGCAACGGGCTTCTAGTCTATAATAATAAAAGCGTAATATGCTAATTAGACCGGACAGCTGAATGACCTGGACATCATTCCAGACGTCCTTCTGGATGAAGCCGCGGCGGCGGGGGCCGAGGCAAAGGCAATTAGGGCCAATCAGGCAGGCAGGCGAGTGGTTAGGGACGATCAGGCAGGCAGGCAGAGGCAGTTAGGGGTGATTAGGCAGGCAGGCAGGCCAGGAGTTAGGAGCCAGTGGTCCCGAATTGTGAGAGGGATGTCCGACTTCCAGTTTAGGTTCGATCCCGAGGATCAGGCCTAAACTGGCAGTCAGACATCCCCCGAGGAGTCCCAAATTGGAGAGGGTGCAAGCTGGCCTGAGAGCCCCCCCACCGTGCGCCAGGCTGAGGGAACCCACTGGTGCACAAATTCATGCACTGGGCCTCTAGAATATATATATATCACAGAAATCCTCAAGAATATGAGTAGAAATGACTAATATGACAGAAATACCTATCAGTTTGCCAGTAACCCAGCCAGATAATGTCAAAATGTTCATTTCAGATTTTCCTAGCTCAAATTAGAGACAGTGTTATCAAAAGCCTATAAATAAATAAAGTAGTTCTGCATGAGCAAAATTAAATGACAATATCTGGCAAATGCAGAGTGGCAACTGCCAGCCAACAGAGACCAGATCACCAAAGTGACATTGGAACAGGCTCTGTGTAGGCTAGGGCTTCTCAGTTGAGACACTATTGACATTTGGGGCCAGGACATTATTTACCATAGCAGGGGGCACGGGG